AGGAAGGGAGGGATCTCAAGACAGGGTGGGCGGGAAGGATCGAGTGTCATGTTCTGAAGATGGGGCAGGATCACCCAGCAGGAGAGGAGGGCCGATGAGGCTCAGGGTGGGATGGAGAGAAGTAGCAGGGTCTGTGCGCCTGGCCTCCATGCCAGGATGGAGGCAGACTCAGCCCTGGAGGCTGCAGGGGACCTTTCAAGGGTTTCAAATACGGCAGAGGTGTAATGAAAGGGGCTTCCGAAAGGGTTCTGAGTGTCTCAGAAAGGAGGACTGGGATTTCCAGGGACCAGGCTCTGTCCGTAAGATGTGATGGTGATGGGGTCGCTGCACTGGTGTGCCAGCGCACGCCTCAAACAGTTTCTCTGAATTTCAGAGAAACAGGCAAAAATCTGTCTGGCTAACCAGGTGGATTGTATGGAGAAGGTTGGGCTGTTGGGTCAATGTGATCAGCCAGATCTTAGGCTGAGGTGAGAGGAATTGACCTTGATGGAGGAGCCAGGGGCTGGGTCAGTGGGTGCCTGGTCTTGCCCATTGATGTTTCATAGGAAGATAAAGAATATGCTAATCAAATCTGTGTACAACAGGTAGTTAATACACTGGATAAGAGAACCAGTATCTTAGGAAATCTCAGACGTCTAAAAGGATGGGCTGAAACACTATGAAATTAAATAAGGAGAAAAGTTATCTTCCCCTCTGGCCTCATTTGGGCCTAAACCCACAAGTACAGCGCAGGTGAGGCCTGGCTTCTCAGTGGCTAATGTAGTGAAAACACTCTATTAATCAGTAAGTGACAAGCAAGTGTGAGTTGTTACTCAGCTGAAAATGACTTGAGTGTTGAGTAGCTGTAACCTTGATATAAGTCAGCCATGCATTGTTACTGGCAAAGAGCGAATACATATAAAACAGCCAAAATAAATACTGGCTCAGGGATGATATTAAAAATATTTAGAAACTATGTAAGTGTGTCATGCACTTACCAATCAGAAAAAGCTCAAGTTGTAGCCTTGGGACAGCCATTTACCTTTAATTACAAGATCATAGGATGATCATGCATAAGGGCCCTAAGGATGGGTACTGGGAATAGGACAGCAGCTGTTAAAATTTCAATATTTTATCAGCCCATAGACCCACATGAGTGCTCCCTAGCTGAATATTGGCCAAGGAACAGCCTTGTCACACTCTGCTGATAGGATCTCACCTGGGGGTGCTGTGCAGTGGTGGCTGCTACACCTTCAGAAAGGATAGTGACAAACCAAACATCAGGGGGAGAGTGGCCAGGGTTGAAAGGTAGGGAAGGGCTCTATGATTACATCAAATGAGGAATGGATGAAGGAATTAAGGAGGTTTAATCTAGAGAAGAGGAGCCTCAGACATTTGAAGGACTGCACTGTAGGAGGCAGAGCAAATATATTCCTATACCCCCCAGGAGATAGACCTGGGATGATGGGTATAAGCAAGAAGTGGTCAGATTCTGGCTTAATGACTAGTCTTTTTTAATATTTAAAAATATATTTTTATTGACTTCAGAGAGGAGGGAGAGGGAGAGAGAGACAGAAACATCAATGATGAGAGAGAATCATTGATCGGCTGCCTCCTGCACGCCCTCTATAGGGGATCGAGCCTGC